TATGTTTCGATCCATCCGACGCCGCCAGGTTGCACCTCAGACTGTCCAGGAGCTCAGTGATGCCCTGGTCCAGATCTGGGAGGAGATACCCCAGGACGCCATCTGTTGTCTCATTAGGAGCATGCCCCAACATTGTCAGGCATGCATCGTGGGGGCCATACAAATTACTGAATACCATTTTGAGTTGCTGCAATGAAATTTTAGCAAAATGGACTAGTTGCCACACATTTTTTTCACTGCAATTGTTGGGGTGTCTTTGAATTCAACCCTCTGCAGGTTGATAATTTTCATTTCCATCAAATGATGTGGCATCCTTTTGTTCCTAACACATCACCCAGTCCAAATCAGTAGAAATAAACTGCAGTGAGATCTTGTGTTTTCAAAGTGTTCCTTTAAATTTTTTTGAGCAGTGTAGTTCATTGCAACATTAAACATATTTGCCCAGCTATTTACTGCTGTTTTGTAATATTCATATAAAGAAAGACCTCATGCTCCTTAAAACTAAAAACCCCAGATTAACAAGATATTTGTTCAGCAAGTAAAGCAAGTTCAGCCATCATCTGCTTCTGTTTTCTGTTACATAACCCTCCTCAGCATGCAGCACATAGTCTGTGTGAATACATTATACACCCGTGGAGGGAAGCTTGACATGTTACTGTGAGGGACCAAACCCAAACCACCAGCAGGTTGACACAATCACAGCAACATTATACAGTTGTAAAGAAACCTTTATGGTATTTTTGCAACAAACAATTCAGTTTACAACCACATAATGTGGTTAAAATCTGTAAAATATGCAACATACAGATGTCTTCTATATCTCAGAGCTGAGATTCTATCAAGGGACTCTTTTACAAAACCAGTTCCCTCCTTTGGTATCATGTCGCAGAACACATTTATTGCCAAAGGATTGAATTACATATATTACATATTTTTTTAAGATCTAATTTTTTTTGCAAGTTCAGCCATCATTGGATTCTGTTTTTCATGATATATAACCATCCAAATGTTTTTGTATTGCCTAGATCTCTAAAAGCTAATACATTTTTCTACTGAGTTGGAAAAATACTGTTGTCCTTGCTGGAGCCTTGTCTACAGGAGGATAAGAGACCCCCCGCCCCCCTGTCTGGATCCAATGGGCTTCAAAGAGAAACTGTCATCCAGCTCTAGCCGCCCTCCCTGCTAAGACGTGCACATGATACCACTGCTGGGACCAGAAAAAGATGTTTAAATTTCATTTGCCACTTTGATCTGACAGCACATTCTCTCTTGATCACATAATAATGTCTTTAAGAAATAAATATAATTTGACTGCACATAAAACAACAACAACAAAAAACTGTATTCATTAAATAGACATCAGATATGAACAAAAACACATATTTTAGCTGAGGAAGGAGTTTCACCTCTCTACATTTTGGTGTGAGACTCGTTAGATGAATGACAAAGATGTTCTTCTATCTATCAGTTTCTGACATCAATCTGAGGAAAATTTGCTTCCCTGTTCACTTTGAGCTGTTCAATGATCACAATGATCTTAAACAGAATAAGATTAATGATCAAGGTGAGGGCCTCCACTACTTTCTGTTTTTGTTTTGTTGCGATCCATTGTCGCTCATTTAATGTAATTACGCTGGTCTGAAAACACAGCCCTACGGCGTAAGTCTTAGAAACACAAGCTTCTCATATTAGCATCCTATTTTGCCGCTCAGCCTCTCAAAGGCTAGGCAAGCGCTTCCAGCTGAAGGCTATGCTACGTATCAACTAAATCCCTCTGGAGAAGTCTGTGCTTGCTGGACCGAGTCAGACGGCCTTTTTCCTGCGATTCAGAGGGGGCTGAATAAGGACTAATCTGAGGTTTAAATAGTTTGTGTCCAGATATTTTACTACAAAACTCTGGCTTTGATAAGTTTTCCTAATATTTTTAGATAATAATAACATATAAGAGAGGCACTTTTTTTTAGATTTGAAAGAAAACAGTTCTCGTATTAACTTCTTAGACTAAAAGGAGGTTTTAAATTGACACCGATTGAAGCAAATGGCTGAAGACCACAGACTCATATCTGTTGTCACTTAAAAATAAAGTTTACTGCTAGTTTCTAGATACAAGTGAGCACAATACCTGTGTAATATTTTTTTTTTCCATTTTATTACATAAGTAGTGCATCAGAGGACAGTTTTCAGCATTTTGACATACTACAAACTTTAACATGCTGTATTGCTCCTCTGTAGGAAAGACCAATGCAGGGATGTGTAATTTAAAAATAGAAGGAATGTGATACTGGGTTTTTAAAAGTACATTCAGCTTACACGTATCTGATAGGCTAAATAAAATCCAGTCTCACCAAATACCTTAAGAAGACACCTAGTTGACACATGGAGCCCCTAGGAGGTAAGTCTTAAGAAGGCTTCTTGCAAGCAAGAAGAGATCTGTAAATTCACCAACTCCAAAGAAATACATCTTGCCAACAGATGCATCTGGCCTCGATACAGAATTGTTTTGGACCAATGAAATGCATTGACATGTATTACGTCAACCAGAAGTAGAATGCTGAAGCAAAACAAAGATGGCTGCACCAGTTTTAGCTGGAATACCCTCTATTTCTTTTTGAAAAATGAGAAAAAGGAAGCGATTTGTGCGAGTTTTTGTGTGACTTTGATATATTATGAAAAAAATCAATAATGCGATACGTCACAGCTGCCACTGCTGCTGTGATTGGCTAAAAGCTTGACATAGAGGCAGATGCCAGTTGGTGTTTTATCCAATCAGCTGGCAGAATTATATTAAATGTCCCTTCCTTTTGCGAAATGTGGTTTATGCAGCTAACCTGAAATCACATTTACCTCAACAGCTGACCTCCACAGTGACCCTGAAGACAATGCTTAGGCTACAAATGCTTTAGATCATAGCAGATGTGACCAGACTTGGATCTGCTTTTTCTCATCACGGTAGCTTCAGCTGGTCTGTTCCTGTTCAGCTGTGACTCCTGCAGAGAAATATCAGTTTTGCTGCTGCCATCATCCTCTCCGTTTATAGATGTTGGAGCTTCGCCTGTTTTCAGGATAGTCCTGTTTCTTTATCTCCTTGAACCCCAGTCAGCCTTGGCATATGGCCGCTCACACTGAGCCTAGTTCTGGTTCTGCTCGAGGTTTCTTCCTGTTAAAGGGAGTTTTCCTCTCCACTGATGCTACATGCATGCTTGGTGTGAGGGTTTGCTGTAGAGTCAATGACACAATCCAAGTGAAGGTCGTCGCTGCAGGCTCATCCAGAAGGAGCATGTTTTGCAAGTCAATGACTGGATACAATCAGCTGGTTTTCCTAACCACTCTGACATATCATGTCTTTAATGGGCCTTGAGATGATGTCATCACTGTTTATATAATACTCTACTTTTATTCATATTAAGAATCCTTACAGTCCCTATCCTCAGGCCTAATCTCAAAGTGTATTCATATATCTCTAGGACATTACTCTCAGTAGGTTTTAATATTATCACTGTTCATGTACTTCATCCATCAATAGAGCTAATTGACTTTGAACAATAGTTAATCGCTAAACCATCTCGGCAATTTTGTGTTTTCTTTAGAATGTTGGAGGGTAAGACTCTCCGTGCATTGGCTCACTGGACCAAGGTCCAGGTTATAAATGGATCAGGTGGTGCCTGGGGGCTCAAAACCTTTGTTTAAGTACTAAAATCTCAGTTATTACTGGCATTAGTCATAAATAGATACAACAAAAACTTAGGATGTATTCACAGAGAAAAGTAACTGAATCCACCAAAACAAATAACACAGAAATATACAGAAATGTAACGTAACAACCAAGAGTTTCCTCTAGATTAAAAAAGACAGATAAAATCCTTTGGTATGTTAAAAGTGTTCACAGTATAATCTGTAAACAATATGAAACAGAAATGTGTCTTTTATTCTGTGCTTCACCGTATCACAAAGGTGAGTAAAATAAACAATAAAAATACATTTTAAAGAACCAAACTGATATCATCATTGAGGTGGTTAACATTGGATTAATTTAGCTTTTTTTGCCACTTTATTGACAGTTAGGTACGTTATTCCAGAATGTGCTTGATGTCGTCCTACCTTGACCTTGCGTCCATCCACAGTCTCCTCATTGAACTCTTCGCCGATACGGAAATTGATCTCGGTGGTTCGCACACTTGTGGAGGTTTTGATGTAGAACTGCTCGCCGTCCTGGTGGATCTCCACCTGAGGGGTCGAGGCTGCTGCCACAGCTACCTTCCTCAGCATGGCGTTCACACCTGAACAGAAACAATACACACAAGGTTTAAAAAAAAGAGACTGCATTACAGCTGCCACTAATGACTAACTTTCTAATGACAAAAAAAAATCCCCACTGTTGGGCATTTGCATAGTAGCCACAGGATATTGTGGCTACCTTGTAAGTAAAAAAAAGTTACATCGTACTATGTGTGCCTTTGCTTTTTTACTAAACCATCTGTCTCCAGTCAGGTGCTGTCTCAAAAGCACAAAAATTACTATAAATACGCCTGCATGGCATTGTTCAAAGATCAATCTGCATATGACAAATAAATAAACATCAGGGGAGTTAAACTCTAAAGGTTAATAAAAAAAAGTTGAAAGAATGGAATGTTATGTAGACAGAACAGAGAGAGAGCTCTGATTATTATTGCTGCAATATAACATTTTTTATGAAATGTTATATTGCAGCAAAAAAGTTAATCAATACCCAAATTTAAAGTTTTAATGTTAAAACCTTCCAGCGAAAAATACTCGATTGTATATTCTGGTACTTGCAGCTTTTACCACAAACCCTAAAAACTCTTTATATTCACTGCCAGCCACTACTAACAGCAGTGGGAAATCACCCACATTGTGCCAAGGTAGTTATCCCCACCAGAATTTGTATCCCCTCGCTGGGAGCACCTAAGGAGGAGCTGATCAAGTTCACTCCGCCTCAATTTCAACCTCCTCGTTCAACTCTTACACCATGTGTGCTCCCGGCGAGGGGACACAAATTCTGATGAACTGACTACACAGACATTTGGAGATGGCCTTACTTGCTTAAAAACATGTTAAAGCTATGTTTCCTACTCATCAAGAAAATAAAGCCAAGCTGCTTTCCAGCTTGAAGCTACAGAACAGAACAGAAAAACAACCAGAGTAGAGAGCAGCCAGTGTCGAAGCATCAAAGCAACTTGAACACAGATTGATCCAGCATTCAAAGGCTCCGATGTGAACAGAGCATTACAGTTCACGTCAGACCTCTATCACTCTATCAGAGGGGTGTCAAAAGTTCACACATTTGTTACTTAAGTAGAAGTATAGATAGTGCAGTTTAAAAACACTCTGGTAAAAGTTGAAGTATCAACTTGACCTCTTTACTCAAGTAAAAGTGAAAATGTATGTGCTCCAAAAACTACTTAAAGTATAAAAGCTATAAGCTATAAAGTAAGCTTTAAAAAAAAACCAGCCAGATGCCACTATATTAACTGAAAGCTCATCTTTTCGACTATTTCTAAAAATCCTTAGAGATAGGGCCGAGGATGAGGGAGGTCTTGTTGGTCTCCATCTCCCGATACGCTCTCGCCTGTGTCTGACCTTTCAGACATTTCAACATCTTTTTCTGAATCTGACATTGTAGCATGGCAAAGACAATTCACGTTAGCAGTTTGAAGAACACCTGCTTGCTTCTGATGATTTCCTTTAGCTAACCAATGAGTGTTTGCGTTATATGACTCATCCAATGACACTAGTTTTCACTAGATGTGGATGGAGCCAATGATCTGCATTGGATGGAGCACATGACCTGAAATGAATATTTATAAACATTAAACCAGGGGTAACCAATTAAAAATCAGCGGGATCCAAATAAAGAAAATCATCAACCAGTAAAGGTCTGGAAAGGAGATGGAGGATGTGGGGGTTCAGGGTAACAGCGGCACAAGTGAAGTTTAGACACTGTCATCATCTGACGACGTTTAATGATTAAACCGAAGCCAAGAGTAACGAGTAACTTTTGTTTTAAAAATGTAAGGAATAGAAAGTACAGTTACTTGTGTGAAAGTGTAATGAGTAGAAGTCAGAAGTAGGAAGAAAAATAAGTAATGGAGTAAAGTATAGATACCGAAAAAGTGTGCTTAAGTACAGTAACAAAGTATTTGTACTCCGTTACTTGACACATCTGTTCTATTACCAGCTGCGCGAAAGCATTCTCATACTTTGAATACTTTTGGTCTTCTAGCAGATGCCTCCGTCCAAGATTCAGGCTCACCCGCTGCTGACATTTTTGTATCACGCTCAAAACCAGAACCAAGAGTAACAGAAGCTTGTGACCAGAGAGGAAAAGGGAGCCAATTTACCCGCGGTTTTGCACACAGCAAAATTAGTGTTGTGAAATACCTGAACTCAGATGAGCTGTTTGCTCCGACCAAAATTAATAGGCGAAATTTCCGACAAATTTCCATCGTCAATTATATCGACTACATTGACTAATTGTGGCAGCACTTGACTGTATTTAGCAGAGATAGTGTGAGGTAATGCGTACACCCAATACCACAGACTGTAATAACACACAACCCAGTATTCAAGGCAGGAGAGACAGTTCAAAACGTTTATTCAAAAACGGGCGGGCTGTGGAAATGCGGTATTAGCGGCTAGGGCATCTATCACTGAAGCTCTGTTGGGAAGAAACAGGTTAGTCACCATGATAATTTGATGGAGGATCATGATCCACGTGAGTATCTAATCTGGTTCAACAGTTCAGTCCATCATAGAGAACAGATCCAGCCGGATTCTGCAGGCATCACCCAGATTGTCCACAATACTACAGCCCCGGAAGACAAGCTGAAGTCCGAGCCAAGTCAGGGAAACAGATCAGAACAAGAAGGCTCATAGGTCCAGGATACTGAATCCCAGTCAGGGATACAGTTCAGAAAAGGAACAGACTGGTTCAGTGTTCCAGGAGTCCACAGAAAGTTTAAACGGGAGCCGGCAGAATCAGTGGATGTGAGGCAGATCAGGAAATCAGAAACACTACAGAAAGCTAAAAACCCTCTCTCCACTGGCCCCAACAATGGGAACAAGGTCATCTGGCCCTAATAGCTGGATGCAAATCCCTTAAATGGAGGCAAGAGCAGGTGGATATGTGGCAATGAGAAACCGGCCAAAGTTAGAGAAGTGAATGGAATAAGCAATTAAGCCAGCCATCATCACCAAGATCATGACAAGGACATTTGAGAACCATTAAGACGATTTGGTAAAAGGCACACAAATGCAATTTAATTTCTAAGAAAATTGTGAAATTCCAGGAATTATAAAACAACTAAATTGCACATTGTTGTGAAAATGAAAAACAACTCCAAAAACAAAACAAGAGCAAAGATGCCTTTTATTTGTGCTCCCATTTTTTTTTTTTTACAGAAAATCTTCCAACATGCACCCCTCCCCGATTTAGAGAGTTGGAGTCTCTCATGCCAACCTGTATTAGCTCAGAAGCTCAGACATAGAGACTTACTGGCTGACTGTCTTCCTTTCTTGGTGTGTGTGTGTGTGTCTGTCTGGAATTGGCCACACAAATCTTTAAAGGGAACGGAAGAAGAGTGCTTGTTTTGGAATGAAATTACAATGAGCCCTGTGTGGCTCTGAGAGACCTCAGCTATTAAGCAAAACCTCAGCTATTTATCGAAATTGGATGAAATTTGTGGAATTTTGGCACTGAGGTTGAAAAGGAGGGGTTGGTAACTGTCCTGTTTTCAGCTTAGCCTATCCATGGTTGTCTTATTTTGCCTGATAGTTCCATGCTTGGTTTGACACTGCAATGGCCATATGGCTTTATGCCTGCCAAATTCTTTCTCCTTGACATTTTGCTGCCCTCCTGTATCAGCAGGGCAAACAGAGGATCGTTTTCAGTAGATTATACTGATTTTATAGAAAGAATAAAAAAAATTATTATGTAAGGTTTTTATAATTATCTTTGAATAGTTTTAGTTAATGATCCTCCTTCAAAACCACAATAGTCCCTTTAGGTTATCACCCAAGGTTGTTGTGTAAGTAGAGTAGAGTAGTTGTGTGGGTGAGTAGAGAGGTAGGTGGAGGTAGAGTATTGATGCCCCTATCCAGCTGGGGAGAAACTAGTCCAAGCATTTGCAACTTCAAGTCTGGACTATTATAGTTCTTTGCTATCAGGAACTCATCGAACTGTAGTCAAAAGCCTTCAGCTGATTCAAAATGTTGCAGCCAGAGTTCTAATGAAAAACATAAACAGATCATATATCTCCTCTTTAGCTTCTCTTCTCTGGCTCTCTGTTAAATCCAGAATGGAATTTAAAATCCTCCTTCTCACATATAAAGCCCAAAATAAACAAGTTCCATCTGATATCAGAGATCTGAATGTACCTTGTATTTCAGCCCGGACAGACGTTTCTCCTTTACTCTACCTTGGCCCTATTGTGACTCTACCTTTCTTATAAATTATCCAAAAGAGGTAGGTTATCCTGAGCTACTCTCTGTATTTGTGTTGCTATACTGCAATTTATCTGGAAGGTTGGAGGCACTAAACAGCACTCTAGCAATGAAAGCCATTCCACATCAGGGAGAGGAGGCACTCAACCTTGACAAAACTGATGTGTGGAAGACTCTGAGGAGAGTCAACCCAAGAAAGGCCCCAGGCCCCGATAACATACCTGAGCAAGTGTACAAGGAATGTGCAGGTCAGCTGGCTGGTGTCCTCACAGACATTTTAACACCTCGCTGGACCAATCCATAGTGCCAGCATGCTTCAAGTCTGCCACCATTATTCTGGTCAAAGAAGCCTCAGGTCACCCCACTCACTGACACCCATAATGATGAAGTGTTTTGAAAGGCTGGTTTAAGAACACATCGTCTCCAATCTCCCACCAGCATGTGACCCGTTCCTGTTCGCCTACCGACGGAGCTGCTCCACTGAGGACGCCATCTCCTCTGCTCTTTACCTGAGCCTAGCACACCTGGAGGAGAGGAACTCCAACATGCAGATGCTGTTCCTGGACTTCACTTCAGCATCTGATAATGAAACTGGAACAGCTAGGCTTCAATATACCCCTCTACAATTGACTGCTAGACCTCTTCACAAACAGTCAGTTTGTGAGTTATTGAGTTGGACAGAACACCTCTGATATCATCACCATAAGCAGAGGCTCCCCTAAGGGCTGCATCCGTCCTGAGCCCCCTGCTGTTCACCCTGATGACACATGACTGCGTCCCCAGGTTCACCACTAATCACATCGTAAAGTTAGCAGAC